TCCTAGTAGCTTCTTGTTACTACTAGCGTGGCACCTGTTACTACTAGCGTGGCACTTGTTCCTAGTAGCTTCTTGTTACTACTAGCGTGGCACCTGTTACTACTAGCGTGGCACTTGTTCCTAGTAGCTTCTTGTAACTACTAGCGTGGCACCTGTTACTACTAGCGTGGCACTTGTTCCTAGTAGCTTCTTGTTACTACTAGCGTGGCACTTGTTTCTAATAGCTTCTTTGTTACTACTAGTAAGGCACCTGTTACTACTAGCGTGGCACTTGTTTCTAATAGCTTCTTTGTTACTACTAGTAAGGCACTTGTTACTACTAGCGTGGCACTTGTTTCTACTAGCTTTGAGAAGATCCAAACGGTCTTTTCACGACGTATTTTTTCGACACGAAGTCTTGGAGCCCAAGGTCTGTGAGAAACGACACGAAGTCTTGGAGATCAGACTGTAGAGAAGAAAGCGATGCAAAATGGATTGGATGAATGAGAATCGGCACTTACTGCTTTGCCTGCTTTCTCACCTTTCCGTAGCTAGAAAGCCGTCCAAAACAAAGCCTGGAGTCGCCTAGTCTTCTCTTGTTACTGAGTCATACTGCCATGCTACCAATAAGCATGAGAAGCCAAGCACGGCTCCGTTCATGCAAGAATGAAACTCATGTGCTCCGAGGGACCAAAAAGCACAGCTCTGTCGTCTAATCCTTTGGATCTACCGATTGCATAAATCTCGGATCGTTCTCTCAGAAACGAGAAGCGGCAAAAAGACCTTTTGCTCTTTTGAGACCTCGTAGGACCTCGTACGACTTAGGACAGACCCTAAAAAGATCTTTGGATTGCCAAGGCATATGTTTTCTTTTTCGGAAACCAAAAAACTTAAAAGCAGGAGATCTTTTCCCTGACTGCCCATTGGCCCCCGGCGTGTCGCGTGCTGAAGTGCCGCTGCTGGATCATGTGGAAGACCCGTCCAGGTGTTCCAGACCTCACCCATTGCCAAAAACCTGCTTGGACTCAAGAGCCATGAAGCCATCTTCAGAAAAACAAAAGACCAAGCAACCAATCCTTACGTCACTTGACCTCGAGTTAACAAGCGAAAAGTCCCTTCGACTGATGAAGCCCCCACACAATCTGAACTCCTGCTTCGAAGGTGTGGATGTCGTCGGAGACACGCTTCCCTCCGATGCACACATGCACCTCAAAATGCGCATTGTGGTTTCAGACAAACCCGACGCCAGAACACACGTCTGCAGGCTCAAAGAAGACACACAACTCCACCCCACAAGGCGTTCGTGAACACCACGTGGGCCTGCCTGTACATTCAGGTAATCCCCAAGAGCCAAGCAAACCTGGCAATGTCGCAAATGAGGAAGAGTGAAGAGGAATTTAACAAGAATATAAAAAGAAAAGAAAAAAGAAGTTGAAGTTTCTAAGGTCAAAAATTTAATACAAAAATACATCTCCCCGGAATCAGATGCGTCCCATAAAGCCGGTGGGAGAAAATCTGTCCATCCTAAAATCCTTGCGGATTCGGACGGTTTGGGCCAGAATCACGGACATGCTACTCGATCATGTTTGGCAAGCTCGGACAGATGCTTGAATTCATGTCTTCTTGACTCTTGAACAAAGGACCTGCAACAAGAGATCCGAATGGACAATTCTAGAGCGCGTGTGTTGTTCAATGTCTCAAAGGACCAACTCTTGCCGCTCTCTTTGCTTCTCACCTTCTGGCTTTGTTCAGCCAACTCTCGCGTTGGCGACAGGAACAGCGCCTGCATAGAAAACGCATTGACTGAAGCTGCTTCCACTTGAGTCTCAGCATGAAGACAAAACATAAGTTTGTTTAAGAAGCTACTAGGGGCTCCTGGCATCGCTATTAGGAACAAGAAGCT